CTCAGATTGTGAGTCGAGCGCCTTATCCACCTGGCCATGCTGGGCACTTATTTAAGAGAACGAACTGATTCTTCCCAACTGTGCAACCCCCTCCCATCCATTCCAACACATGACGGAATAGCCTACCTAAACAAAACACTCTTTGTTGCAGTAAGTAAATAGTGAAGTGTTAAAAAGTGTAGTGCAATAAGACAACAAATGTTTTTGCCTTAAATTATAGTGCGTGTAAGTTAACTCGACTACTACATAAAAGATCACTTTAGAGTATGAGTTGATCCCACAACCAGAGTTATTTGGAAAGCGAGGATCAGGATCTTCATTAACTAAAAATCTACCTTTTGGAATATTCATCACTTTATTAGCATCCATTTTGTAGGTTCTATCCACGTGTTAATTGTTGCATAAACTCTAGAGCTGTGTATTTGTTTGTTTGGTACAGAATTTTCAAGTAAGGCTACACCAAGGGTTATTTGCGCAACCCTTAGGTTATTCTTGCCTGTCCGAATAACTGATTGTTACTCTTATAGTGCAGTCGCTACCACAAAATGCAAGCACATTTCTGTAGAAACGGGCCACGAAACACGAAACTTCCGAATTCACAATCCGTACATGCTAACCACTAGGCCACGCTCGGCCCACTACAGTGCAACTCAACTTTCTAGCTTTGAATGGCTAAATGTGAATTATAGTGTCTATAAAAGTGGCCCCAGCAAGATAACAAAATGAGAAAAATTGGCATACTAAATAAGACACCAATAACAGTAACTTCGTTAGTGAAAACTTTGTGTCATTTTTTTAAAGACAAGTAAAATTGATAAACGAACAATTTCTCTATAGCTTTTCCCTTTCGAGAAAAAAAAATCCCATTAATAAAGTGATTTTTTTTTCTATTTTGAATTCTTGTTGGTATCATTTACTTCAAGAATCGTGGATTTTACATATATTTGTGAGTCCATTTCTAAGTTCTCCGAGTAACAATTATTAAAATTTATTCACTTGTATGTTCGTGTGATAATTATTCGAATAATAACGCTCACGTATTATAAAGTTGGGGCCCCCAGCAGCTTAGCGATAAGTCTAAAGGCTTATTAACGCTATAAACCGGATTTCAGTACCCGTGGCGGGTGCAGCACAGATAATCCATTGTGTAACTTTGTGCTTAACAATAAACAAACAACTAAGTAAATGTGATATGAGGTAAAGTTAGGAATCGTTACGTTTGAAATTCAGAAACTTATGTTACACAACTGGTGCTTTTATAGGGTAAGAAGGGGCAATGGAGATGACAACTCTGTCTATATTAGATAGATTGGCAGATATAGTAACGTTCAATGCCAACGTACCAAGAATCTATTTTTTATTTTGATAAATATATTATCGTCAAGCAAAAATGCATGTTCTTATTTTGAAAAGCAAATCGATTTCAGTTTAAGCAACGGGCTTATATGTCAAAGTGTCTACTTTAGCATATAATAATGATGATTAGGATATGATAAAAAACGAATTACCTTGAAATTATCGTAGTTGTAATGTGCATGTCAGTAACG